TTCTTGGTAAGGATTGTTAATAGGCAGTTTGCCATTGCCTTCCTCTGAGGCTGAGAGAATGTGACTTTCCCAAGGCCACCTAATTGGTGTCTATTGCCAAACAGGGATCTGAACCCAGGGCTTCAGAGTCATAGTCCAGTGTTCAAACCACTATACCAGGCATGGGAAAACTTTGGCCCTCCAGGTGTTTTGGATTCCAACTCCCACAATTCAGCTGTTAGGAATTGTGGGAGCTGAAGTCCAAAACACCTGGAGGGCTGAAGTTTGCCCGTACCTGCATTATACCATGCCAGCTCTTGGCTTTACCTTATTTTCCTTTTGTAACCCTCTTTCCTCCTTTTTCCAGCTCTGTAATCCAAGACTTCCATGTCCGTGTCCCATAAGGGAAATGGGACAAAGCCAAGGTTCTTACCACCCTCTTAAGAGAAAAGGAGGCAAGTGAACATACTGACAGCCAAATGCTTTTCCAGATGCCATGATTTGTTTTAGCAGCCTGAAATTTTGTGTTGACAGGACCTGGAAAGGGGGGGGGGGACTTTTTCTACAGTTGCCAGGGCATAAAATCCAGGGAACTGAGTATTCCCATTCTGGGTTATATTCTTTCCTTATGAACGGTAAGGTAGAATGCTGCTGTTAACACTTATATTCCTCTGCATCTCCCAAAACACAAAAACATATGTTGTTAATCACACAATTAATGTTATTTTAAAATGAATAAGTAGTAGCTGTGATTCAAGCTGGCACTACGTTGGGGTGATAAAGTGATAGTCCTATTTACACAGGAAACAAACATTTAGAAATTACTAATTGCATGCATATGTCTTGTTTTTAAATGAATGCCTTTAATATCAGTTTTATTTTTAGCAAAACTTTAAGGTGCACATTTTAAAAACTTTTTAAAAAATGGAAGTTTAACATTTAGAGAAGGAGAGTTTAAGCTCCAATGCACGAGGCTGGTTGTGATGACTTAGGTTGCATCTACACTGGGTGTGGGCAAACTTGGGCCCTCCAGGTGTCCCATAATTCCTAACAGCCTCAGGCTCCTTCCTTTTCCCCCTCAGCCGCTTAAGCCTGAGGCTGTTAGGAATTGTGGGAGTTGAAGTCCAAAACACCTGGAGGGCCCAACTCTGCCCATGCCTGATCTACACACATCCACACTAGAGATCTACACGCATCCACAGTGTAGATCAAACAAGAAGCAATCAGGGCTAATTAAATACCTCCTAACAAAGGATTCCCCAGGGAGTAAGAATCCAGACCTTGAAACTGCAAGGCCATTGAATGCTAATCAAGGTGGCTGATTAAAACATTCACACCTACCTCGAACAGACAAGAGTTCTTTCTCCCACCCTGGACATTCCAGTTATATAAACCCAATTTTCCTAGTTTCCAGCAGACCTCACAACCCCTGAGGATGCCTGCCATAGGTGCAAGTGAAATGTCAGGAGAGAATGCTTCTGGAACATGGCCATTTAACCGGTTATATTTCCAAAACATCATTAGCAGGACAGAGCTGTATTCACGTACAGTATAGCACAGCCCAGCAGAACCGGAGACTGGGAGAGATGCTAACAGAGGCATGGAGATAATCCTTCATTAGCAAGAGATAATCATCGCATCAGCAATTCTTCACAGGAATTTATGGGGCTTAAGCCTGGCACTGGAAAGAGATGCCAAGGCTGGGCTAGTGGAGCTGGTGGGAGAGCGAGAAGACGCTAACCTGGGATCTGGCTTTTATTTTTGGTAATTATATTAGGATGATATGCTGGAGTGAGTGCAGAGACAGGCATTAATGGATAGATGCTCATAAAGATTTAAGAGAGCATAATTGCTTTATTAAATTGCAGAGGACCTGCCAGTGGATGCCAACACAAGGCCTGGCCATGGCTTTCCGTATCACCCTGTGCATGCCGTTCCTTAATGATGATGTTGCAAGCATTACCCTGCATGGGAACCACATAGCCTCCAGTGTTTCACAAAGGAAACCCAAGACATAAGTGGTCAAGCAGCATCAGGATGTGGTCAAGCAAGCAACAAGAAGGAACAGATAAAATAGGGGAGGCTGCAACAGTTTGCTTGCGACTCAGCCAACTGGGAAGATTTGCTCCCTTTTCGCCAGTATATCCTACCAAGTTATCTGAGGTGGCACAGTGGGTTAAACCGCTGAGCTGCTGAACTTGCTGACTGAAGGGTTGGCGGTTCGAATCCGGGGTGAGCTCCCATTGCTAGCCCCAGCTTCTACCAACCTAGCAGTTGGAACACATACAAATGTGAGTAGATTAATAGGTTCTGCTCCTCATGGCCTAGGAGGTGTCTATGGACAACGCTGGCTCTTTGGTATAGAACTGGAGATGAGCACCATCCTCCAGAGTTGGACATGACTAGACTTAATGTCAGGGGAAACCTTTACCTTTTCCTTTACCTTTTCCTTTACCTTTTCCTTTACTTATCTAAATGAGAACTCCTTTTGCTCTTTGAACTCAGACTGGGGCAAATTACATTAACCAACAACAAATGGGGAGAGTGGGAGAAGGAGAGAGAAACTGGGACAGCTGATAAAATGGGATGGCAAAGGATTAAATGGGACTGTCCCTGCCAAACTGAGACAGTTAGAGAATATGGAAATGTAGTAGCCAGGATCTGTGTGCTAGTGGCCACAGAAACCATCAGTAGAGTAAATGTATGCAAACTTCTGCATTGATGGCTGAATGTTCACCCAAATCCTCTCCCTGACAGCCTCAGCCAAATTCTTCTGTGACCAAATGTTTTCCCCATAGGACCCAGATGTTCTGAGCTAACCCTCCCCACACCATTTCATCATGAATATTGTGCGTCCTGCAACACTACTTGGTGGCACACATTTGGTGAATGAAAAGCATTAATCCTCCTCATCTTATGCCCCAATCTTCCCAAGAACGTGCACTTGTATTATGTTCTGAGACAGACAACAGGAGTGTGAGTGTGTGTATGTATATCTGCCAACATTTCACAGAAGAAGAACACTACATATGTGGCCAAGTAACACACAAAGGTGTGGTCAAGATGACAAAATTCAGAAGGAAGAGGAACATACAAGGTAAAAAAGATTGTAAGACTTTTCTTTTGCCTGAGCCAACTGGGAAGAGCAAGAGTCCATCCCCTTCGTTCCCTTTCTCCTATTTAATTAATTGACTGCAACTACTTTTGTGCTTAAACTCTGTTTGCAGCAATGGAAGCAAGCTGAGGACAAAGCTTGTGCACGAGCTGCAACTGTACCTCAAGAAGTCTGACTTAACCATGGTCTATGCCTTGGTTATCTCCAGGTTGGATTACTGTAATGCACTCTACACGGGGCTGCCCTTGAAGACAGCCTGGAAACTGCAGTTAGTGCAAAGGTTGGTGGCCAGGTTGTTAACCGGAGCAAATTACAGGGAGTGGTCAACCCCTCTGTTCAGACAGCTCCACTGCCTGCTGATAAGTTTCCAACCTCGATTTAAGTTGCAGGTTATGACCTATAAAGCCTTAAACAGTTCGGGACCTATCTAACTTCACGATCGCATTTCCCCCTAAAAACCTACACAATCTCTAAGATTCTCTGGGGAGGCTCTCCTCTCGCTCCCACTGCCGTCAAAAGTGTGGTTGGTGGGGATGAGGGAGAGGGCCTTCTCAGTGTTGCCCCCCCCCCCCCCCCGGCTCTGGAATTCTCTCCCCTGGGAGATTAGGCTGTCCCCCCGTCCATCTTTTGCAAAGTCTAAAGATATGGATGTTCCACTGTGCTTTTGATTACATGGTTTCCCCAGAAATTTTTTGGCTCCTAGTTATGACCCAATTTTCAGTCCCTGCACTTTACTACTGCCCCCTGCTTCAGGATATAGTGTTCTACTTTAGATTGCCTGTTACCACCAATTTGTGTCAACTGGCACTTGTACTTCATGTATCAACCCTTCCTCACAATTGATTATATTGCCTCTCACCCGTTCCCAGAACTGCATTGCTATCTCAAGATACTGGTTGTCTGTTTGATGGTTGTTTTGTATTATATTGTGTTATACTGTTGTTGTTTTATTGCTTGTTGCTGTTTTTATGAATTTTAATGTGTTATTTTAATTATGTTGATAGGGCTTGTCCCTATATAAGCCACACTGAGTCCCTTCGGGAAGATGAAGGCAGGGTATAAAAATAAAGTTACAATATTATTATTTGAAACACAACAAGATTAGTTCACAGCGAAAAAGATCACTATGCTGGCTGTTGTTTTGGATCACACGTCGGACACTTCCCAGGTGTCTAGGACTGTGTGATGTATCGGTGAATAATGCGTGCAGATCCCAGTAAGGTGGCCTTTTGCAGCTGACAGATGATAATTTTGTCAGCACCGATTGTGTTTAAGTGCAGGCCAGGGTCTTTAGGCACTGTACCCAGTGTGCCGATCACCACTGGGACCACCTTTATATTGTTGTTGTTGTTGTTAAAGGGGAATAGTGTGAGAGAGAAACTGGGACATTTTGGGTGGGATGATAGAGGATTAATTATGATTATCCCATCCAACTCTGGAAAGTTGGAGGATATGTGTATGAATGCAGGGAGAAGAAGGTGAGAAGTGTGCCTGACTTCGTATATGTTACTCAGTGGATTGCTGAAAGTCTATATTTTTGCGCGTGGAGGCCAAGGAAGTCAAAGGCTTCAATGTGGTCATCACCATCACATTGGGTCTTGCCCACAAATGAGAAACTTATTGAAATTCCACCCCAAACCATCATTTTCTGCTGTATACAGCTCACGGAGCAAAAAAAAAAGCTCCCCAGCTCTGTTGGAAGCAGAGCAGCCCATGTGTAGGGATTGCATCCTGCTGATGTTAAGAACAGAAAAAGAGGACAGATGAAGAAACCTAGCAGGCCAAATATAAACCATGGGAGTCACTCACAGAAGAATTGGGTGGGGAGTATTTGGAGCATGAGGGTTTCAGAGAGGAAAAGGCAGAGGGTGAATGGGAAATGAAGGTGATCAGATAAATTGATTACCTCCAGGCAGCTCTGCAGGTCCGCAGGTGGCCCTCTCTTCCTCAATGTCATTCATCCAGAGTTTCTTGTAGCAAAACTTCCACAAGCCATAGTGGGCCGCCTCGCAGATGGCTGAGTGATTCTGCTTGTAGGTGTTGAGCTCCACCCAGAACTCCGTGCCCACGGCCAGAACCGTCAGGGTCATGCCCACAATGGCCACAAAGAAGGCCAGCTTGATCTTGCCCTCTTGCTCGTCCGTCATTGCCTTGCGCCGCTTGCCTCCTGCCCGCCCGCGCGTGGCCATGCGCTGCTCCTCGTCCTGAAGGAAAAAATTGGGCCACATATTCATAGCCCTTTTCCTTGCTGCTTGGGCAACGTTTACCTGCAAAAAGGCAAGTCCTGGTCCCCAGTTTCTTGTTTAACCCTAGGAAAGCTTGGACCTTTCCAGGGCCTCTCAGAGCTTCTCCTTAGTCTTAACTAGGTCAACACACTGCAAGCGGCTCGACCACTCTCCCTGTTCACCCCACAATACCCCACCCCTCGCTTTCTCCACCCAATGCCCCGGCTTGACAGAGTGAGGCCAGGGATGGGACAGCAGCTACCTCACACCACCCACCCCTTGCCTCCCCCTGCGTGGCCTTGGCAAATGCAGGGAGCACCTGCCACTGTCCTTCACCCATCGCCTAGGCAAGAAGGGTTATTTTAAGGCGCACAGACTGTCTGGTGCAGGGAGGGGGAGCATGTGTGTGTGTGTGCGTCTGTGTGTGTGTCTGACACTTTTAAAGATGCAGAGGTCAAAACTGACAACTCTCTCAGCACCTGGACAGCTAAGGATTCCTATTGCCCTGGCTTCTCACAGCGCCCTCTGCTGCATGTGTTGGTATCACTCTAAGCATTGTTATGTTTTATTTTCTAAGTCACTTGCACAAGTTGCAAAGTGCATGATGGGACATCTCTTCTGGATCCACCCCTTTAGTTGTTTGCTTGCCCTACAGGCATCAGATTCCACCTGGGCTTGGAGGTTAAGCACTCTCAACTCTGGTAAGTGCAGGTAGTCCCTAAGTTACAAATAAATAGGTTCAGTAGGTTTGTTCTGAAGTTGAATTTGTATGCAAGTCAGAACAGGTATATTTGTGAGTGTAACTTCAGCCACAGGCACACACACATACCACACACACACTTTGGATAGCATAGGGTGTATGTGTATTTTTGCATATATGTATGTATGGATATATACATACACACATACACACACACCTTGGATAGAATAAGGTGTATGTGTACTTTTGTATATATGTATGTATTGATATATACATACACACACACTTTGGATAGCATAGGGTATGTGTGTAACTCCAGCCACACTCACATACACACACACATACCACACACACACTTTGGATAGCATAGGATGTATGTGTATTTTATATATATGTATGCATATATATATATATATATATATATATACACATACACTTTGGATAGCATAGGGTATATGTGTATATATATGTATTTATGTATATATATATATATATACACACACCTACAAAGACATACACACACACACTTTGGATAGTATAAGGAAGGGTTAACACCCCTGTGTTTTTTGTTTTGCTGTTTGTGCCCCTGATCAGAACATTTCACCTTACTTCTGTTCCTGTGAACATTGGATTTCCAAAAAAATGGCTTGTTCTGGAAATAAGGATTGATGATAAAGCTTCAGTGGAGACCCCTTTTCCTCATGATAACTCTTTCAGGAGTGAATTTCCCTTCCTAGGGTAGATTTCTCTCACTTCCTGTTGTCTCACTCCAGTTCTTAACTATGAGTTGTTGTAAGCCGGATGTTTGTAACTTGGGGACTGCCTGTACTTGAATGGGAAATAGTTCTGTGAGCTATATTTCAGGAAAGGAAATGGCGAAACCACCTCTGGGTATGCTGGATTGGGGGATGCTGGAAGCTGGAGTCCCTGCCCTCCTCAATGACATTTGGTGAAGCTGACACAGTGAAACATCTATGCAATACAGATAGTTCCAGCCAGTACTCTTTAGTGGAGGTTGATGTGGTGCCTGCACCAGTGGGAGTGAACCTACTTTAAAGAAGCTGCCCAGGATGATAAACTCCATCCCCAAAATTGGGGAAGACACATCTTCCACCCGAACTCTTGCTGCTATGCTTTGTACAAACTTAAATTGCCAGACGTTTTTCACTTTCCAGCTTGACAGCCAACACATTAAACCAGTGGTTCTCAACCTGTGGGTCCCCAGATGTTTTGGCCTTCCACTCCCAGAAATCCTAACAGCTAATAAACTGGCTGGGATTTCTGGGAGTTGTAGGTCAAAACACCTGGGGACCCACAGGTTGAGAACTACTGCATTAAACCAATCTAAGATGGAGACATGGATCACCAAGGCCACAGTATTCTGTGAAGATTACAAGCATGGTTGAATCTCTCAATATGAAATAAATCATTTTCTGCATGTACTCTGTCACAGTAGCTGCTGATCAAAATCTAAGCCTCTAGTCTCCTTCTTGGCCTCCCTCTCCATCCTTTTGCTCACATTGCTACTGTTCAACATTTTCTCATTGTTTTCTTCCTCCCTGAACACATGGGTGCTGCAAGCCCAATGCATAGGCAAGGCAACCAACCACCTGAGCTGACATGTGATTCTTTTGGGACCCCTGCCCATCTCCTCCTCTTAAGGGACAAAGCTGTGTGTGTTACAAGTTTATCCAGTTTTCCTTAAACTCATAATGCCTGATGACTTCATTCAATCAGAAGGCAAAATCATTCTAGATTTTAGCTGGAACTTTATAGGAGTTGTCCAGAGTGCTGAACTTCACCTTCAAACCATAGAATCATAGGGTTGGAAGAGACCTCGTGGGCCATCCAGTCCAACCCCCTGCCAAGAAGCAGGAAAATCACATTCAAAGAACCCCCAACAGATGGCCATCCAACCTCTGTTTAAAAGCTTCCAAAGAAGGAGCCTCCACCATACTCCAGGGCAAAGAGTTCCACTGCTGAATTTCAACAAAACCATTAAAGGTACATAAGCCTCCTCCAGTTTTCACTCTAGCAACTCTATCATCTTCTCTCATAGGTGTCCCCATAGGTGTGCCCAAAGATCCACATATGTTTCAGTTGTTTTGTGAGGAGAGGGACTATACGGTTCCGGCCCACTTTACCTGTCCGAATGTATTCTCCCCTATGACCCATCAAGGCTCTTAAGATCTTCTGGTGGGGCCCTGTTCTCGGTCCCACCACTTTTGAAATCGCTTTTGGTGGGGACAAGTGACAGGGCCTTTTCCTCGGCTATGGAACTTTCTCCTGATTGAAATCAGATCTGCCTCGTCTTTCCTGACTTTCAGGAGGCTAGTGAAAACCTGGATATGGAATAAAGCATTCCCAGAATAATGGATGAGACTGGCTACAGACCAAAGTTATCGACCACATATGCGGACTGAGTTGGACATGATTTTATCTTGGCGATCCGGCTTATATGTATTTTATTCTATATGTATTTTAATCTTTCTGTTGTATGATGTTTTAGACTGTATTATTAGAATTGGAATCCTTGTTGTGAGCCGGTCTGAGTCCCTCTATAGAGGTAGAGAAAATCAGGAAATTAAAGTTTTAAACAAACAAACAAACAAACAAACACTACACAGAGATGTCTTCAACTAACTGTTACTTATTAAGTCCTCCTAGAACACACAGCAATACCTGGCCATAAAGAAGCAGACCAACTTAACAAATTTTGCTCCATCAATAGCATAGCATAGACTTACCCACAACTTATATGTCCTCTGAATGTGGTGTTGGAGGTGCCAACTGCTCTGGCTAACTTCAGTCCAAAACTGAACAAGCTCCCTTTAGACACTGGCAGCAATGGGACATTAAAGAGGCAGCACACGGCCGTAGGGAGTCACATTCTGCCGAGAAAGTGATTGGTTTGGGCAAAACAAATTCAGCATTGAAAGAAACGGGGGCATTTTTTCCAGTTTTCTTTGCGGTTGCTTAACAACAGGGATGACAATGAGGCACCCCCCCCTCCCATCCCGTAATAACCAAGCTCCACTTGTTGAGCATTTGGGTTCATGTAAAACTTGTCAGAAAGCTAACATTTTGGGCAAGGAGAGAGGCACGAATCAGGGACATACGGAGCCAGGCCTGGAGGCTTTAAGCAGTATTCCCAGAAGGTGTCAAGGAGATTTGAGGATGTTCATCCATGCAGTGGCAAGCAGGAGGAAGCATCTGGTGTCCCCCGCCCCACATCCGCTAACAAGCTGACCAAGTTAAAAAGTACTGAGTTGGCATGGAAGGACAGCTGTTGTGTTGGTGGAGGATCCATAGGGGCTGCTGCCAGGAAGAGGGAGGAACCCAACCGTTCATCTTTTCTGTAGATCTGATTATATTTATGCCCTCCATACGGGCTTTGCTGCAGGGCTTTTGGAACTACACAATTCCACCTTTGTTGCCTTAGCAACTAGCTAGGCTGGCAAATACAGTCTTTGTGCCTCAGGACTACTGGTGGCAGCGGATGCCATCTAAGGAAAGAGGAGTTTATATTGGGGGAATAATCTGGATATCTGGAAAGCCAAAAGGTTTGCACTCTTTTCTCCAGCAATCCTGCTGAGTTATCTGATGTGGCACAGCGGGTTAAACTGCTGAGCTGCTGAACTTGCTGACTGAAAGGTTGGTGGTTCGAATCCGGGGAGTGCTGTTGGGCCTAGCTTTTGCCAACCTAGCAATTCTAAAACATGCAAATGTTAGTAGATCAATAGGTACTGCTTGTGTGGGAAGGTAACGGCGCTCCATGCAGTCATGCTGGCCACATCTCCTTGGAGGTATCTACAGACAACACTGGCTCTTCAGCTTAGAAATGGAGAGGAGTACCACCCCCTAGAACTGGACACAACTAGACTTAATGCCCAGGGAAACCTTTACCTTCACCTAATCCGGATATGACTATAGTTATTTTTCTGCATTTTAAACAACCCCTCTAGGGCAGTGCTTCTTAAGGTATCTGAAGTAGGATACCAACTCTTCCCATTCTAGTGTGCCAAGGACTGGCACCATATTTGCGCCCACTACAGATTTTTGGGAAACTTTCGATTAACAGGGCACTGCTAGGTTAAGTACTAGCACCTATTTATTTTGAGTAGGATTGCTCTAGGGCAGTGCTAGAATATGTTCATCATTACCTGCTGGCATTCAGTTGTTTTTTTTTTAGTTTGCAGGAAAGAAAGCTGTCATGTGCATCTTGTAGCTCATGTTCACGCAAGCCCAAAGATGGAGAAATATGTTGTTGAAAGCTTTCATGGCCAGAATCACTGGGTTGCTAAGAGCTTTCCCGGCTGTATGGCAGAAGCATTCTCTCCTGACGTTTCAAGCACATCTATGGCAGGCATCCTCAGAGGTTATGAGGTCTGTTGGAAATTAAGCAATTGAGATTTATAAATCTGTGGAATGTCCAGGGTGGGAAGAACATGTGAATGTTGCAATTGGCCACCTTGATTAGTACTGAATGGCCTTGCAGCTTCAAAGCC